AATAAAATGCCGCCTGGCCAGCGCCGGCCTGCGCGGGCCGGGCCGGGCCGGGGCCGGCGGGAGAGGCACCGTCTCTGGGCAGAGAAGTGCCAGGAGGGGCCATGGGGCCGGCAGCCGCAGCAGCCGCTTTCCCTTCCCCGGCGAGCAGATGGCCTGAATAAAAACATAGAATGTGGTCCAGAAGGGTCGGGAGAGGACAAAAAGTGAGAGGTTCCCCAGGCCGCGGGCAGCCGCCCGGAGAGAGGGGAGGGAGGGAGCCGCCGCTGAAAGGGGTGAGGGAGAGAGGGGACTTTTGATGTCGGGAGGGCCGTGCTTGCCCGCTGCCTCTCCTCTCCCTGAATGATTCCCCGAGGAGCGGCGGGACCGCAGGTGCGGCGCTTAGAAAGCCCAAAGCCCTTTCTATCGATAAAATAATGCCTGGCCAGAGGAGCTCTCCCAAGGCTGCGAGGGATGCGAAGCTGAACAGCTTCCGTGGCGGTGCTTATTTTCCCCAATCAAGGCGTTAGCAATAATTATCCTGATAACTTTTATCCACGGTGATTGACCTTTTAGCCTTCACTGTACATCGCTGTATCGGGATGTTTTCACTTGCCTGGCTTTGCCAGGGAATTTTTTTGGTTTGGGTTGATGAAACCATCCATATCCATCCTTTGCACATTTTTTTTTTGGAAGCACTATGTTTCCAGCCGTACATCTGTCAGTGTATCTGCAGATATTTCAGCAACTGCTATACCTATCCTACAACTTTTCCAATGGTATTCTATTTTCAGAAGCCTGCACATAAATAAGCACAGCTCAGTAAACATACCAACACTTGGTTTTATTTTACTTGTTCTGTGACCCAGAACATGCTTTAATCCCAGTGTTAAATACATTCCCTCTCATATATTTTAAAGTGAATATGGAAAGCTCCAATAGGATTTCTTTCCTGAACATGGCCATCTAAGAAATTAAATAGAGCTGTCTTAAAAGTAGCTATAATTGTTATGGAGAAATTGTGAGATTTTCATAAAAATCTTGTTTTTTTCAATTAAAAACTGAAAGCCAGAACAGAACAACTAGGCTAAAAGTCTTTCAGGGCTGATATGTTAAAAATCAATTTTGGTTTCAAATATTTAATTTATGAAAAAAAAATACAAAAATATGCTTACTCTTACATTTTCCATTTTCAGGCTTGCACAGAACACTTGTGTTCTGTGTTTTTCTTTTTGGCTAAGATCTTTTTTTTTTTTTAACTTTTTTTTTGTTCCAACAGAATCCCAATCCTCATTTTTTTTATTTTGCAGTCAGATCTGAGTGGAAAAAAAATGTACCATTGATCTCAAGTAGGTATTGTTCAAAGGTTTTTTTCTGTGCTTGTTAAGAATACAAGTTAGCTTTGTTACAGAACATACATCCAGGGCATTAAAAGATGATACAAAAGAAAACAAGTAATTTTTCAATCTCACCTTCTCAGCTAAAAAAATAAAAGATGGAAGAAGTGTATGTAAAGATTCTCCTAGTTGCTCAGAACAGAGTAGTTTTTCAGTGCTTTTTGAGAGTGAAACTTAAATAAAACCAGTCCAAAAGTGTTTGGCCATTCCAAACTGCTCTGTTCTGGAGCATCTGCCTTTGACCCAAAAACTACTGACATCCATGAATTTCGTTTCTCTTTGGTAACTTGCAGATTATTGATTTTATCGTTTGCTTGACATTTCACAGTGCATTGCCTCACTTACAGAAATGTTCAGCATTTACACTCTGATGTGAACTGTCATAAAGTGAGGTAACATTCCATAAAATCCTAAGGGGAAAAACACTTTGATGAGATGCAGTCCAACTTGGAAGGACTGTATTTTTTCTCAAGCTGTTCTAGGCTCACTCACCCTGAAAAAGCACATTTCAGAAGGGACAAGATAATTTTAAATAAGAACTGCTGTTTAAAAGGAAAAACAAAAAGGATGAAATCTTTTATAGTAACAAGAGCAGGAATCACTATTGGTGTGTAACATAAAAGAAGTGAAATGCACATGTACTTGCTATGCTCCGCTTTCAGCAGAGCAACAAAGTTCAAGAGAAACAGCTTGTGCTTTACATTTTTGATCTGCTCATTCCCCTTCTTGCTCTAAAATGTATCGCTGGGCCTGAATACCCCCAAGAAATCAGGCAGAGGCATCCGGCACGTACTTAGGATCTGTGTCTTGCAACAGAAGGAGCCCGAGAAAGAGAGCCAGCCCTTCTCCTGCTGGGTCAGTCACATGCAGTCAGGCTTTTGCATAGAGCTAGCCTTCTGTCTCCTTCCTTTCAGGGGCAGAGTAACATTTTGTAGTGACACAAAGAAATTCTTCCCTCTCTTGGTCATAAAGACCCACACTAGAGCACTAGATCCTCTTTATCAACTGCTCTTTTCTTATAGGATACAATATATTTTATTTACATATTAATTGATCAGTTTGTCTGAAAAACTTGGAAAGCCCAGTGGTTCACAAAAACATAAACCACTCTACTTGTAGTCATTTCTCAAACTTGAAGAAAATTGCAGTACCTCTGCTTTGCCCAACTCTCCATAATCTATATCCTCGCCATTATACATATTACTATTGTGCAGGGCTCATAGTTGGGATGTAATTAGTTAAATTTTATGGGTGACAAAGCAGAGAACCAAACTGCAATGAAATTATTACCACAGATGAAACAAAAGTATTTGGCCACTTTCTTCTTCTTTTTGGGGAAAAAACGATGCCTGTAAAACGCCTGGCTTTTTTCATTGCCTTTGAAAGTGGCTGTGCAGTTTGTGAGACACATTGCAGTAAGCATTCAAAATCTTTTGTCCTGTGTCTTGGACACATACCTACAAGTGTGCATATGACACAAAAAATGTATTTCCTCCCAGACTCTGCTGTCATTTCTTGTACTTTCCATATGCTGCTATTAGCACGATGCAGCTCACCAACAACTGCGTGGCTTGTAAAGCAGGAGAAACCACGACAAAGATAAATGACAGGAAGATTTTCTGCCTTCATGAGTTTTCATCCTAGTCCAATCAGAACCTTGCAATTTCTCTTGGTCTGGTAATTGAGAAACACCAAATGAGATTACTAAGACAAACAAAATTTTAAGACAAACAAAAGCACCACTTCACCTACGGCATGCTTGGGCTCCTTATATAGTGTAACTTCTCCCTAGAAGATTATGTGGAAGGCAAATGGGCTCAAAAAACAACTACACAAAGCCAGAAAATAAAAGTCCAGTGGATAACCACATCTGTGTCAGGAAACTCCTAAATTATAGATGGCTGAAAGCAGACTGCCATGGGAAGGGTCACTCTGTGCTGTTCTCCTCATAGTCTTTCCCTAAGCAGTTATTACTAGACACTGTTAGGGACAGGAGCAAAAGGACCTTTGGTCTCATTCAGTACAGCTGTTCTCTTGTTCCTCTGTTCTTATTTTATTCCAGCAACAAAGTCTATTTTTATTCTTCTCCCTAGAACTGTGGCCAGCACACTGGAAAGGATTTTACTAGGAATCCAGACTGCTGTGAGTGTTCATGGTACACACAGGGACACTATTTTTCTTTCATCTGCACAGGGTAGCTGTGTCAAAGGCATTCTCTGTCTTCTCCAGCTCAGGGTGCTGAAATGCTTTGCAATCAAGACACAGTATACTCACAGGCCTCAGTGATTGTTTAGTATGGCTGAAAACAACATTAATGTCATAACATGGGTAGTTTGACACCTGTGTAAAAGTAAGGATGGCTCCTCTCCAGAATATGTCTGTCACCAGATATTATCTATACTGAGAGCTTTAAAAAAGGCACTTATTTAATTCACAGGAATGATACTAAAATAACCCCGCTGTGTAGGATTCCTTTCCTTTCTGCTGACATGGGTATCACCAGAGGAAAACATGAATCTATAATGTAACAGTTAAAATCTGTCATAGATGTGTGGATCTGTGTGGAAAATACAAAACAACTAACCTTCACACACTGAGTCCCAACTCAACCCAAGCAAAGGACCAGCCTTAAATTCTATTTTGGCCTTGTTTCCCATCTAATGTTTATTAGTTATAGGTCATGGTGCTGACCTCTTCACATGTCAGATGCTCAGGAAGCCTATCAGTCAGTAGTACGCTGCTAGTGTGTCCTAGAGATAGATTGGTCCAGAAGGACTCTCTGAATTTGCTGTTGTCCAGGACTGCACAGGAGGGATTTAGCCTCCATGCTGTGGTCCATTTGTGATCAGGCTGCACCAGAATTCTTGCCTGGCACAGTCAGTGCCATGTCTTGTGCCTGGGCAGAGAAATGGGACAGGGCAGGGAGGTGGCACGGCAAGGGCTGGAAGCAGAAATGGCTGAATCAGATGAGTTGCACGCTAAGCTGATCTCCGTTCAGACTGAGGCGATAGGTGGGCAGCACTTTCCCCACATAGCCCCAGGTGTGACCTGATGCTGAGGCCAGAGCAGCCCTTGCAGCCCCTGACAAAGGGAGGCATGAGTCACATTTCCTTAGTGTCTGCACGAGTGATGCCGTGTACCCATGCCACAGGTCCCTCGCTGCCATCGGCAGGCCTGTTTAGCATAAATGGATCGTGGCAGCACTGCAGCCTTCAGTCTAATGCCAGATGAAATTTATAAGAAGTGTAATGCAAACTTGGAGAACCAATGAAGAGTGGTCCTTAGTCTCTGAACAAAGTAATGCACTTGCCAAACACACTTGCCCTTCAAATCACAGACTTGTTCAAAATGTTCTGGAAATTGTCCTAAACCAAAACCTCAGCATAGATTACCTCCAGGAGACTGACAGAAAAAACATGGGTTTGATCTCTCTGGTAACTTGACAGGCTGCCATGTCCAAACAACCACATTTAAAAAAGCCTGGATTTCCGTGCGAACACTGCCCTTCTGCTGGATAAATCCAACCCTCTCTACTGGGTAAATTCACGTATGCTAACATAAATTAGCAGCAATGACTATTCAAATAGTCAGATCAGCAAACTGCACTGATGATCAACCAGTACCAGCAGCAAATCAAGCCTATAAATGCCTTTGACTGTGGCTCTCAGTCTATTAGAAGTTATGCACCCTAGTAAAAACTCCTGGCATGGTATTCTGCAGCAAATAAATACCCATTTTTTGTTGCTAACCTGTCTTCTTGGTGACTCACCCAGGCAGAGAACTCCCATCTGGGTTTATAAGAATAAGCAGTTTGATATGGAATTTCATAACATACTTCTTACATGTTGCTCACATCCTTCTGTTGAGCTAAATTGATCTTTTTTCTTCTCATTTCCTGGGTAGATTGCATTTGGTCTATGAGTAAACACAGTGTAGCTGCCCCCTTTTCCCAGGCTTTCTAATGAGAATGTGCTGTCTGATCAGGTGCATGCACTCTGCTGTCATTTGCAGCCTGACCTGAAGGTCAGAGGTGATTTGAGCAGGCTCAGGGATGCATACAAATCACATCCTCTTGTCTGTCTGTTTTGTTGACTGGTTCTCCTCAGGGTCATGGCTATCTTAAGTAGCAGCCTGAAGGATAAAGTGCGCCCTGTCTGAGCTGTAAAACTTTGACTTTGGACCAATTGCATCTGACATACAGCAGCATGAGGGTTGGTTTAGCCTTTGGATTCAGAACAAATCACTGGCTATCAATAGCTGATAGTGACATGCAGTTTACTGAATGTCCCCTTTTCTCTGGCAGCTGTATATTCTTTGGAAGAAATGGATGTGTTTTTAAGTTTCTAAGGTCATGTTTTAAATATGATGTTGCACACACTCCATTAGAAAGTAAGTGTAGCAAATAAATAAATAGCTAGAAAATGTTACGCTGCTTTATGAGTTTGCTCTTGGGCTCCCAGGTGGTGCATAGTATGGGAGGTGGAGGAATAGACACAAAATAGCATAAGAATTACCTACTCTGAAACAAAATTATTAACAAAAGAATTAGCTCACTTACTGAAAACTTTTCAGGAATGATATTGAGGAACAGCCATGCAGGATAAAGCACTGTACTGTCCTCAAGACTGGTGTTCTGCAGGGAGCTTCTTTGCCATCACGGCTGCACCAGCATGGCAGTCGATGCACAGGGTTAGGGGCACAGGAGCAGCATGCTCTACCCATATCCTCCCACTGTGCACAGGACCACCAGGCCCAGCCTCACAGTCCTCATACTGCTCCTGCCACCATGGTAGGGCTTGCCAGTGCACCAAGCACCCACTCATGCTAAACCCAAAAAAGGAGAAGTTTTTAAGGCCACCAAGCAGGCATCAAAGAGTTACGGCTCTCAGCTGGCATCAGTCGAGGCCAGATTCAAAGCAGTGACCTGGAAGCAAGTGGCTCTGTATCACCCCCATGGGTTGCCCAGCCCCCTAACACTTCACTTATTAAAAGGCGACTCTAGGACTATGTCAGTGCCCTTGTGCCTCTGCAGCATCATACTAAAAACCCACTCTGTCTCATATGTGTGTAAATCAATTTTATACAAAGGAACCACTCTTTTATTGGTCAAAATGCTTTGGTAGCATCTATTTATTATTCTGTTAAGAGTCACATTACTTTGTCAACAATTATATCTGTTTCATTTTCTCAGCTCTGCTTAAAAATTTTTGCCAAGTTTGTGCTGGAGAATTATACTGAAGGAAACTTTTTGTTCTCATCATATTGTAACTTGGTAGAAAAAGAAAAAGGGATTGTTGTTGTTGTGGTTGTTATTATTATTTCATATATATATATATATATATATATATTTATATATATAATTTTTAAAATCAGCCATAACACCAGAAAAGCTGAGGCGCCGCTCTCAGTAAGTACCATGTTACATTTCTCGGTTTATCCACGTATAGAGGCTATCTAGGACTTATAAACTTTTCATAGAGTGCATGTGTAGGTCTCCAATGGTTGTAAAGGAACAGCCTGGGCCAAGAATTTTCTGCAGAAGTGTTCTTTTTTCACTGAACAACCTGATTATTTCATAACTTCTTTTTTTTCTTTCCCACAGAAATTCTTCCCTATCATAATAAAAAAAATTAACAGTCGCATTAAAAAATGAAACATTTTCAGTTTTTATTTGTGTTTTGGGTGGAAAGGATGAACGGCAACTGTTTGCAGAAGATAATCTCATTTTTCAGATTAGTTAAGAACAAACTGTATCTAGTATAGCCTTAAACTACCATTAAGTAAAAAGATATTGATAATACAAAAAACTGGTGAATTCATTTTTTGACAGGTCTCATCATATCTGAAGACTAGTCCCAAGATCTTTCAGGTCTTAGTGAAATAAACAAAGGGTTCAACATATGGTAGAATTGCAGCCTTAATGATATCATATCTGTGAATTGTGAAGTGATGCTACAAGATGAAGAATTGATAGCAGCATAATAGGATATGTTCCTTTCCCAGCAGAATCCAGCAGAGGATTGTAATAGTTCACCAGGGGAAGTAGGGTTAAAAACCTCTGACCCCTGATATCACATAAACATTGCCAAAAAAAATAAAACCCTTGATTGACAGTGAGATGCCTGACTAGCTCAAGTCTGCTCTGAAATCTTTGCTGATAATTACTGGGTTGAATGGTATGAGAAATGGGCAAGAAGGGTATCAGCCACATGAGTGTACATACTCAGAGACCTGAGCATCTCTAATAAGAATTGATGTAGTGTGTCATTTGTAATTTAATCAGCAGCATTACATCTTGATAGCAAAAGGACTATCATGAACGTTTTTGCAGTAAAGTAAGATTAACAGACACACACCCCAGATCTCTGCTGCCTTAAAGTAATGTTCCAGTTGTGACAGTTGCTGATAAATAGAAGAAAATGTGAGTTTATGCTGACATGTGACCCTGATCTGGTCCCACAGTGTGTAGGCATTTTGCTGCACTTGGCACTAGGTGCCAAGCACTGACCTGAGACTTTTTGTTAACACAGGCAGAGCAGTGCCAACCCTAATCCAAATTTTTGCCTCATTCTTTTCCAGTGGCTGTTGTATCCCAAAGCCCAGGTCTAGGCCCAGATCTGAGCTTCTCACATCCAGGTCCATTCCAAACAGATCCTTTTTGTTTTCCTCACAATTTGTTTGTAAGTTTGGGAGCCGTCTGCTTTACCTTCATGTCCAGGCTTCCCTGCAGGAATTCAGTACCCCAGCATGCACCAACTACATCCTGCCTGACGTGCAAGAAAGCTCCATGGATATTTGGAAGAGATTTACCCTAAAGCTGATGCCAGGGAGTTAGTCATCTCAGCTGAAGCTCCTCATTTTAGACTTTCACTGTAATGGTGGAAAATAGGCCCCTCTAGAGGCAATTTGAGCAGTGTAGCTAAAAAACTTAAGGTGAATGGTTCACTGAAAAGATTTTTTTTTTCTCTGCCCTCACTGAAGAAAAAGCAGTGTTTAGGATACCTATATTTCAGACTTCTGAAGTGAGGTGAGTTAAATCCTTACTCTGCTTACTCTCTCCAGAAAATCCAGTCTGCAGGCTCTCCCAATGTCTGTATCAATGCCTTTTTAATCAAAACTTTAAGATTTCTCATCAACTGTGTCGGAGTAATTTTTATTTTTTTTTTCTTCTCTGTTTTTAACAGTGCTGAGTTGTGAGAGCTGAAAGAATTAGCAGTAAATTTACTCATGGGAAAAAGCACATTATGACAATGAAGCAAAGGTCTCTAGTGTCTGCAGTCCCACAGTGAGTATGCATGTTCAGATGTGCATATTAATTGTCATTTATATCAGTGGCAAGAGGCAAGGAATAAATGGTGCATGGGCATCTGTTTTCAAATGCTTACCCGAGGTGCTGACTCACGTCCATAGGTCACCTGAAAGTAAAATTAGTCCCTTAGGATACAGGCCAAATGTTCTGGGAAAATATCCCATCTCAACAGTCTGTGAGTCTTTGAAGCAACTGTTAGTGACTGACTTTTTTCCCCAATTTTCCTTCACAAATGTAAAATAACCTCCTGCTAATAGTGTTTTCAGAGCCTTCTGTCTAGTTATACCACAATTCCATTATGTTTTAGCCTCTTTCCTCTCATCTACCAAAACAAGAAAGGTAATTCATATTGCAGTTTTGTCTTCTAGATCCACTGGTATCAATCTCATGGCACAACCAGATTTTTTTTAAGATGTGTTATTGCATTTTTTAATTCTAAATTTCACTCTGTGTTGCTCAGTAGTGATTAAACAAACAAGTTAATGAAGCCAAAACAGCCAAAACAAGATAAAAAAAATTTAGAATTATAACTTACCCAAATAACAAAGATCTGAATCTCTGACAATTGTGTTAAATTGTGATATTAAAGAGCTTAAAGGAAAGCTAATTTTTTCCATTTACTGTAGGCTGTTTTCATGAAGAGATTCTTCTGCACTTACAGGTTTTTTGGCAATATCTATATATAATTCTCAAAGTGATAAATGTTGGTTGTTTTTACACTTCTCTCAGTTAAAACCTCTGCTCTAATCAATGAGATCTTTGATTTCCTCAAACAGGTTTAAAAAATGTCACTTAATATCAGTTTCCATCACAGTGTATTTCAGGACTGGTGGTTTAACAATTGCTCTCCAGGAAAATTACTTATTTCTTGTTTTATTTGTGTGAGGAGCTCTACAGTGTGACAGGTCCATGAGAAAGTGAACCCAGCCGAGGAGCAGGTGGTCTGCTGCTCCTATGTTATTGCCATTACGTTGCCTTTGTTAAATTACTCCATAAACCCAAGTTTCCTCATTGCCATTTGTTAAATTTGCCTACCTCCACTCTGTGAGCACAGATAATCAGTCAAACCCTAATTGGGGTATATTTAGATCAAAGTATGCAGCCAGCGTTTGCTCCCAGTACCTGGGTTGCAAATGATAGTCACATGAGTGGCTTGCTCTATTGGACATGCTTTTTGTTTAACCATGATCATTGCTGGCAGGCAGCTTTTTGTGCAAGTGAAAAGCTCTTTAGAATTCCTCTAATTCTGACAAAGAAACTGTCTTTGGGAGGAGAAATTGAGTATTGCCTTCTTGCATCTGAATAGTCTTTCAGCTCTATATTCACAGCAATATACTTCATGTCCCCAGACAAGAAGCAGAAGGTTTGGGTCCATGTTATTTGTTCCTTATCTAGCTTCTAGAAAGCCTTGGAAGCTTGTATTTTTACCAGTTAAGGAGACACATGTAAGGTCTGTTAGTATAGGCATGGATTTCTCTTGAGAAATATTGCAAAAACACTTTGCTACAAAAATCACAGAGGTTGTCTTTTTTTTTTTTTTATTTAAGAAGTAATAAATCAAAGCAAGGTTTGTGTAGGGATGAGTGATACATCATCTTTGCAGTGCTCCTCTGAGAAAGGTAAAAAATGCTTATGGAAAGATTTCTACTTTTTACCTTATTTCTGATCTGATTTCTGGTTTAATCAGTTGTTTTCAGATGGATTAAATTAGCTTTATTTATTACCTTTCACATCTTTCATTTCCTTTGGTGGCACCATTTTATGTTGTCTTTTACTTATCAATATCATGGTAGCACCTAAAGGCCCCATCTGAAGTTAGAGTCCTGAAGTTCTGAGAACTACAGAGAATAAAAGGTGGCTCATTCCCTGAAGAGCCTGCAGTTTAATCAAGACAGCAAGATACACACCACACTAAATTTGGGATACACTATTGAGAGCAAAACACCTACAATTAGCTTTGAGCACAATTAGCTCTTTAGGGTTCAGTTGAGCAAAGGCATACACAGGCACCAGATTTTAGGGCATGTTGAGCAGCCCCATTTAGTTCACAGTGACAAGGACATATGCAAAGCTGATGATAAATCTTCCAGGGCAGGAGGTTAGGTTGTGTGACCAGGCCATTGGCCGGTTGAGAGGGAAAGCTGTCGTTAGGGACAGAAAGTTGACTTGCTCTTTGGATTTCCCTACATTTGAATGCTGAGTTAACAAAGCACAGATTTAGTATGTTTAAAGAGTCAATGCGGAGAAAATACTGTAAAGTAGCTCTGTTTTCCACAAAATTCCTTGCAGACCTTATTCTAAAGGAACTTTGCAAAGAGTAAAGGCCACTTTTGAAGCAATATAAAGGCCACTTTTGTCAGTGAAATAACTTGCTGGACTTTTTCCCCACAGATTTGTATAGAGCACTGGTTCACATCAGGGTCTGAAAAAAAATTAGTTTTGATTGTATATACATACATACAAAAGGGTAAACAGTCTGGATAAAGCCCTTTGTACTGGATTAGTGTCTTAGCTCTTTAACCCAAGCTGCAGGTTTGGGATGTCTTTGTTCAGTTAGGTTTTCGGGGCTGACCAAACCGGGTGTGTTTGAGTTTCATTCCTCACCCTTTTGAGGTCTGCAGGACTGATTCCTTGCATTCAGTGCCAGCAGTACTGTAAGTGCCCGATGCTTTATTCTCTAAGCTATTCATCCTTTCAACCTTTGGCTTTTTTTCCCTTAATCCATCTACCTTACTAAGTTTTCAAGTCAAGTAAAATGTTAAATGTGCTTCAAGCAAGAGCAACACAGAAATAACAGAGAGCATGCCAAGAATTTCTGGCCATCTCATTTATTTGTTCTCTCTGTATGTGTGTGTGTGTGTGTGTGTGTGTGTGTGTATAAATATATGTGTACACGTGTGAATGTGCATGGGGTTATATGATTACACCACAAAAGATGAATCTACCATGAGGCAGAAGTCATGTAAAGCATGTATTCCAAAGGATATTATACAGAGAAAGGCAAAATAAACACGTTTGAGCAACTTCTCACTAATATCAGAAACAAGAAATTGCTCTTCATCACGAATATTTTTGTGGAGAATTCAAATGCTTAATACTGCTTGTCTGAAGCCTTGATGACTTTTTTTTTGGCTGCAGGGGACAAGAGGCTTACACACATGCCACCACTTCAAAGATTTGCCTTCTATTAATTTTTTTACTTAAGCTTCAGAGTGTTAAATTGTTCAATTTAAGCCATGAATATATTTTATAAGATCATCCTAGCCCACCATTTTTCCCAAAATAGAGAAGTTCAGGATATTTGGCAGTTTCACCTCCTCACCAACTCTCTGCAAAATATATATGAATAATTTCTTTGAACCTCAGCAGCTTGTGATACAGAAAAACACAAGTTCAAACCTTAGTCTTTCCTTAACGATGGAAATAGACTGTTCTAAAAATAAGTGCTGAATTTGATGATTTAGATTTAAAAAAAAAAAGGGAACATCATAAATAGAAATGTGTTGTAACTTTTCCAATTGGAAATTAAAAATAATGGGCTATTTTCCATTTCCTTGTGGGGCTTTCATGAGCTGAATCAATATAATGAAATGTTCTAGTCAGCAAAATAAATCAAGAGCCTTTTACTGTTTTTATCACAAGAGATCCCCAGTGAGGTAAGGGAGGAGAACAGAAGAGAACACATGACATTATGCAACTATCCTACATCAGAGTATGAGTCCGGCTGCTGCTCCTGAGCTAAATGCCTGCTTTGCTTAGCCTAAGCTGGGGAAAAGATGGAAATGTGAGGTTGCCAAGAACAGGTTACACTGTCTCTAATCTGTCTCAATTGTAAAGAAAAAAATAGGGACCCAGTGATTTCCTGTGCTCCCACAATGACTTGGAGACCTTCTGTCCATGCATTTCTGGGGATGAGAGCCTGCATGACACTACTGCTCCAAAGTCAACTGAAAAGATTCCCACCTTTCTTCTGTGAGAGCTGTACCAATTTGAAATGCGGGATTGAGCCTGATGGCATGCTTCAGATAGGACCCACAGTGGAGTACCTGGAGCAGAGTCCTCCCCACACAGTGGCTCTGCCGTGGAGGTTTCCCACTACTCACCACGGTCTGGGACTCAAGAGCTGCCTGTCTGCAAATATTACTTAGAGCCCTGGGAACACATCACCAGAAAACCAGTCTGGCCATTGGGTTTACATCATGTTTTGTTCTGCAGGAAATGTTTGTATTTGTTTCAGAGAGAAGCCCTGCTGTTTCAGATAAAGTGCCTTTGCCATCTGCTAAAAGAATGGCAAAACAGCACACAGCTGTTAAAGAACAGAGATAGAAACTCAGTGTAGAGCCATGTTCTTGCTAGCTCCATGGTAAAAATTCCTATTTCATAAGATGTTCCATTATGGGCTTTTTGTGACATTTTAATCTCTCTAAAAGTCAAAGGAATTCTTGTGTCAAAAAATACAGCTTCCATAGATGTCCAATTTATCCCAACATCCCTCTGCTCACTGCAGCCAGCACCACCCCAGGGCAGGATCAGACACCCTGGAGGAAAGATCACTGGGGTGACAGCCACAAGCAGGTCACTGCAAACATATGGACACCCATGCTCTGAACCAAACTATTAAGGAGGAAAATCTTTGAAGGCTGCTGACCTATTTCTTTCTACGAACAATTTTGTTTGGTTCTTTTAGCCTTGTCCAACTGGCAGGGACTGTGGGACAATAGAGCTTAAGACCTAGGCTGACTGGCAGTAGATGGGACTCCCTGGAAAGTTGCCACTCCTGATTGTTCCTTCAGAGCAGACCATTTCAGAAGTAGTGTAAGGAAGATATGTACATCAATCAAGAAAGTGCTATTACTCTTGCTAATAACAGGAGATGATATATAGAAGGCTATCAATGAACTTAGACTTTTGGATTCCCTAAGGCTAGTGCTACCCAAGTAAATTAAACAACTTGAATGAAAATCCTCTGGCACTGA